GGTGGCAAAATGTGTTGTTTTAAATACTACGGTCGATATAAAATACAAGTATTTAAATTTTCATAGTTTTTAACTTTGCTGAACCATCTGCTATACTGAATGAATCTGCACTTTTAAAGTTTGTTATGAATACGTATTGATCTACATAAATATCTCTCTGTATATCTATTGCATGTATTGTATCGGATCCCTCATTTTACGAACATGACTTTTTGCTTCTTAAAAGTACCGTCTCTATTATGCTTCTTACATCGCTACCTCAGAATTACAAAATTATATCTGCTTAGTGATAAATTTGACATAAAAACTCTGAGGTCCACAATATTTCAAGTCTTGTTCGAATGCAATCCTTTGAATATCTTATTAACGACCCGGAATAATCCTACGATTTTGGTAGATTAGTCCGAGGATTTGATTTCTGACCTCATGGTCGTTTAACTCTAAACGTTCAAAAAATGTCAGATAGAATCTTGTAATTCTGGGTAGCGACTTTTCCTTAACGTTCTGACGTTCACGACAGAATTATGATGCACCTGTCTAAATTATAACGGAAAAGTTTACCGTCACTATATGGCAGGCTCTTTTACATTGTCTGTTACACTAAATGTACTATAACAGAATGGGTTCTCAGAGCCAAAATAGGAATTTTTGTCATCTTTTTTAGTACGTAATTTTTCTACTCGGGAATTTGCGTTATTTTCTGTGGTAATAAAAAACCCATGAGACTTTCAAGAGCAGAATTGTACAAGTGATGACTTCAGACTTTTAATACTTTGACACCTTATGATTCATGACAACTGGCAGCAAAAGCTGCTGTTTCAAATGCTACGGTCGCTAACATGCATTAGCATTTTCACATTTTCCAACTTTGCTGAACTATCTGTTATTCAAAAAGAAGTATGCACTTTTAAAGTTTGTTATGAACGAGTATTGCTCTACAAAGTCTAATATCATTATATCTTTTGGATATATTGTAATATCATTGTGAATTCTTGTGGAATGCTGTGCAGTTTCCACGACCCAATAACACTGCAAATAAACCAACAAACAAACAAAACAACAGATTTATCCAAAAAGTCGTTTCAGAAAACCACCAGAGTAGCGTTCGTATTTTCATTTTTAAAATATTTATTTTAAAAACAGAAAAAAGGTGAATAATTTTTGGGTTCAAAGTCCTGAATCCAGAGGAGGAATAACGTTCACCTGGCTTTGATTTGCAGATCCAGCTTGAACAAAATATCTAGCAGTTTTGTGGAGAGTTAAAACTCTCTAAGTGGACTACTGGATAGTGTTTTAGGTTGTTAGGTAGCTTTCTGGTTCTTAAGAGAAGATAAGATAAAATACATCTTTTTTGTCCAGATTCTGGAACATTGGTTAGGTATTTCACCACGTGTACACACTCATACACACACACACACACACACACACACACACACACACACACACACACACACACACACACACACACACACACACACACACACACACATAGAAAAGCATAGAAAAGTGCTAGGTAAAACCAGTTGGTATTTTATGGAGCGAAAGACCCTGGTTCGAATTTCAAACAAGGTTTTTTGAAGTTCTGTTGTTTTGGAGAATTTTTAAGGTTCTACCCCTATTTAACTTGGTCTTATTGGAGACCGACGTAGGAAAGTGGTATCACAGTAACAATTTTATACAACTACCGAATCACGAATATCGTTTTGTTGTAAGCTAATTAGAGGGAGCAGTCATTGTAATGTATCAGTGTATCATATATTTTGAACTGATGAATTATATTTTATGCTTTTCTTGTACGATTTTTTAAAACATATGGTCAGCTTTTTGTTTTTGTTTGTTTAGTAAGGTTTTTACGGCGCTTGTAACTGCATAAGGTCATATGAGCGCCAAGGGGTGGATGGATGTCAAAAAAGAAATCCAAACAGGGAATCACGATTTCTCTGCTCACCCCTCTAGCCCCAACAGCACAAAGTCTGCTTCGACTATCAATGCACCCCGGAAATGGGTCACAAGAGGGTGACAAACAAACAAAAGAAGTAGAGGGAAAATGACGTTAGTAAGGATTAGGAAAGAAAAAGCAGCAGTTCCCCGTAAGCAGTTCAGGCACAGTTAAGAGCATGTCATTGATGAATCAGCCCATTAACAGTTCTACTGAGCAGAAGAACATGTTAATGTCCCCACTTTGGGAATCGCCTGAAGACACTTCAGTCAGAAGCACCGCCCCGGGGGAATGGCGAGCTTTATAATCTCTCCAAAGGTTGCTTATAACCACTGTTCTCACTATAGCGTTTTGTTTTATTGATTATTCAGTTTGCATGAAATTTGACCTGCTTACTAACAACATTTATCAAAACTTCCAACTATACTTGAAGTTTTGAAGTATCTTGAAACTGACAAAATTACGTTACACGGAAATTTGAAAATAAAAAAAAAAAACCCGAAAAAAATAATGCCGAAATTCAATGGTCATTCAAATAATTATGTGAAAGATATCTCAATTGTGCTTGTACAGTTTCATTATAATTCTTTTAAATGAGTGGATATCTAATAATATTATCATGGGTTAAATATTTTTAATATCTTGGGAAGAAAATCAAGAAAAACCATGACGTATAATTTTTTTTCCATATACCCCCCCCCAAAAAAAAAAGAAAGAAAAAGACATTCAATGAAAAATATTGATCATTCAAGATAACAACCCTACTTCCACGAAATACAATTTAGAGTTACTTTCACTGACCAACTGGCTTGTCCCTATCTTACATGAATATTTCAAAAATTTCAAAAAGAAGGACAGTGGTCTTTTTCACGGTGATAATGCCCCATTAAATTCAGAGGTCCCGCCTCTTAAATAACCTTACAACGTCGAAAAATAACTAACAGCTTGTCTCTATATCTTCTGTCCATGCACACATTCAAGCTTAAAATTCCAGCAGAATATCTCCCCCCCCCCCCTTTCCCCGTCTCCCTTGTTTCATTTTTCAATGACGTCCCAATTTTTCTTGAAAGCCCCCACCCCCGTTCCTAGCTGTGTTAGTGGGGCAATGGCATGTATGCACATCAGGAATTGGTTTGCTGAAAACTGAAACTGAGAACGATTTCAAAATCTAGGTATCAGCGAGTTCACGAGCATTAATTGATAAAATCTGTTTGTACTGTGAATACAATTGTATTGTGTTCTATTTTGTTGCGAGAAAAGAGTGATGATGATGATGATGATGATGATGATGATGATGGTGATGATGATGATGATGATGATGATGATGATGATGATGATGGTGATGATGATGATGATGATGATGATGATGATGATGAGGAGGAGGAGGAGGAGGAGGAGGAGGAGGAGGAGGAGGAGGAGGAGGAGGAGGAGCAGGTGGTGGAGGACATAGAGGAGACGGAGGATGAAAAAGAGGAGAAAAAAGAGGAGAGAAAGGGGGAGAACGAGGAGGATGAAGAGGAGGAGGGGAGGAAAAAAAGGAGGAGGAGGAGGGGGAGGAGGGGTGAGGGATGAAAAGATGAGGACAATGACAATAGAAAGGATGAAAAACATGAAAAGGGAGATAGAGGAGGGGATCACTTTCCATGCCCCCCCCCCCCCCCTTTTACGCTCCTTTTCTGCTCGGTCTTCATTTACTTTAGCTGATTGGTGACTCAAATACAGATTTACAATTAAATGGATGACCAGTTTATGGGAAGAAAACTACCCCGTACCAAAAGAAACGTCAAAGCAAAAGCACAATGGCATTGCATCGATAGAATAAGGTGAATACTATTCTTAACATATAAGGATTATATAAAAATGACTAT